CCCTTCCCTCCTTCATGGTCAGATTTGAAGAGGGAAAGAAATGGGTATACATGTTGGTTCGAAGGGTGGCTCGCACCAATATCTTTTGGTCCCTTGGATGTTTTGCTTGAAAACTTGTTCCTTCCCTCCCAGCAGCCTACGTGGTCTTCCAAGCTCTTCCGTGGCTTTGTCTTTCAGCCAAATGCTGAAGCCTTTGCTGCTTCTTACTTCTAATTGTATGGGCTTTCTAAGATGGCAAGTCAACCTACCAAACAAATGGGCTAATCTCCTCAAGTTTTGGGCTATATTGGTTAATTTTAGTGGGCCATTTTGGTTGGGCTTTTTGGTTGGGATATTTTCTCGCTTGTGCTTACCTATATTTTTGTGCCTAAGAAATGGGCCTAAGTTCTGAGTCTCCCAAGCGACCCGGAACCTCCATTTCTCAGTCCATCAATGGGCCTCATGACAACTTATTACCATCCATACCACAATCCACTCAAGCAAGCCCCGGACATTTGAGTGGCTTGGGCCCACTTAGTCTTGTAGCGTGGTTGGGTGTGACATAACAATTTCTCGTTTGGCATTGGATGTTGCTTGGCATGTTTTTTAATTATGATGCTTGACAGGATAATTATCATGGATTTATAGAACTAACGCATTTTATAATCTTAATCTCGATTCCTAGCACGACTGATTATTTATTTGGCATGGCACGCAAAGTGTGATTCGTGCATGGCGGATCTTTGCGTGCTCCAAATCGGACCTTTTCTGAATAATGCGTCATTTTGGGCCAGGAATTTATTTGGGCCCAACCACGGATTTTTTTGGGCCTCAACAATCCCTTAACTAAATTATTCGTTCAAATGGTTCCTTAACTCTTTATTATTCGGCGAACTGGTCATACCATCTAATTTTCTGTCAAATTTAATCACATGAGTATCACATTTTTGGGAGTAAATAGGCCTTTTGACAACTTAAAATAAAAATAAAAATAAGGTTAAAAATTAATACAAATTATATTTATTTTTTAAATTAATTAAAAACTATAAAGAATAAAACAACAACAACAAAATTTTTATAAAAAAACCCACCCCAGCCAACCCCCCCCCATCTCATCCTCCCCTACTCCCCAACCCCTATTGCATCCTCCCCCACTCCGATCCCAACTCCCCAACCCCAACCCCTATCGCATCCTCCCCCACTCCAATCCCAACTCCCTAACCCCATCCCCTAGCCACATCCACCTCAATATACCCCAAATTTGAACCCAACACCCTCTTCACACGAACCCACTTTCTCCCATATCTCTACTTGTCTCTTTCTCTCTCTGATGGAGGGTGGGTTGAGTTGTGTCAGAGAGATCAATGGGCATGGTGATTGGGCTAGGGGCTGGGTGGTGGGAGAGGGAGAACGGCTTTTTTCTTTTGATTTTTAGTTTTTAATTTATTTATTAGGGTTTTTAACTCAAATGGTCCCCAAACTTATACACGAGTTGCATTTTGGTCTCTCAACTAAATTATTCGTTCAAAAGCAGACTTGTGGATGGTTTTACCTAGGCCTGTCAATAAAGCCCAGGCCCGATGGGCTAGCCTGAACCCGGCCCGATTTTTCGATGTTTGGGCTTACCCAGCCCGAACTAATGGGCGGGCTTAGCCCGGCCCAAAGTCTAACATATAGGGCTTGGGCCTCATTTTTAAGCCCTTTAAAAGCCCGGCCCGGCCTGATTATAATTAATTATAATTATATTATATGTAGTATTGCATTGTGTGCCATAGTGTATTTTTATTTGTTGCTATATTTTGTCTTAAAGTAACTTTTTTTTTAACGAAAGAAAGTTGCTTTACCAACTTTTCTTTGTTGAAACTTGAAATGAATTAAGGCTTGTACTCATTCCAAAGGCTGACAACGACGGAGAGTGGACAGCTATAGATAAGGAAGTGCAAATGAGTTTTTCTACACAGAAGATTCAAGATAGAATGCGTGCGGCTGCGGCGTGCACACGATATTCAAAAATTTTACAGGAAAAATGAAGACAGAAGACAGAAGGGCGTTGTGTAGTCTCCATCCATCATCATAAATAAACTACTGAGATCACAACATGAACAAGCGGCACCTACATCATCTACATCTTGCGCTTCAACATTTAGTAGAAAAAGAAGTCGTGTGGATGACCTTTGTGATTCTAAAAGGTTAAACACAAGCAATTTTTCATCTAATGAATTATCACGCTATCTTGATTCACACACAGAAATGGATGATGATGAAAATAATCCTTTAAATATTTTGGTATGGTGGAAATCACATCAAAAAAATTACCCTATGCTTTCCACCAGAGCTCGTGATATTTTAACCATTCCAGTGTCTTCAGTTGGTTCTAAATCAACTTTTAGCAAAGGTGGACGTGTTATAAGTGACCATCGAGCAAGTTTGGCTCCAAATAGTGTTGAAGCGTGCATTTATGGAAGTGATTGGATTAAACAAGAAAAAAAGAAAGTCAAGAAGAAAATGATTGCACAAGATGAACAAGAATGGCCGGAGTGGTTTGTCCAAGATTCAGAATAAATATTATCGTTTTTATTGTTCTGTAGTCTACTTCAGTTTTGTAGTCTATTTCAATTTTCAATGTATTGTTGTTATTATATAATTATGGATGAAGTTTTCAAACATAAAAAACAAATGAAGTTGAATAAAGCATAAAATAATGGCCCATTTCATAGGGCTAAATAGGCCCGAATCATTGGCCCGATCATAAGCCCGAAAATGTTAGGCCTATGGGTAGGCCCTGGACTTTGTATATTTGACATAGGGCTGGCTCGGCCCGGCCCGATCACTCCTTAGGGCTGAAAAAGCCCGTTACTAATTAGGGTCTGGGCTCACACCTCTTAGAGCACCTCCAGCGTAGGAGCCCTGCCTGGGCAAAAGGCCCCCCGCCAGCCCATTTCCCCCTCCAGCACAGGAAATCCAGCCCAGGCAAGAGCTGGGTCCCACGAGCCCAGGCAAGCCCACAGGCAAATTCAGCCCGAGCTGCTGCCTAGGCAGGATGATGCAATGCTGACGTCATAATGACGTCTGCAATGCTGACGTCATAATGACATCAGCAACCAAAAAAATTTGAAAAAAAATGGAAAAAAAACCAAAAATTCCGGAATTTTTTTAAATAAATACCTAGGCATATTCTTTATTTCCCACACCAAAAACTCTATACAAATTCATCTATTCATATCTCATATAAATAGTATTTGCCCTTGCCCTAGCCTTCCAAGGATGGAACCAACTAAGGCAAGGCTGGCACTATTCACGTGAATAGTGGCAGCCCTTGCCTTGCCTTAGCCTTGCCTTAGCCTTCATGGGTGGACATGCTTTTAGGGCAGGGTTGGCCCGGCCCGGCCCATTTTCCAAGCCTAGTTTTACCCTTACATTTGATGGACAGAATATAACGCTCAGACTAATTCGCCGAATAATAAAGAATATGTGGATCATTTGAATGAATAATTTAGTTGAGAGACCAAAATGAAAATGGTGTATAAGTTTAGGGACCATTTGAGTTAATATGAAAATTTATAATTTGTTTGGAGAAATTTTCCATAAACCTTTCCAATTTCTCCGCAGTCTCTGTGAAATTAGGGTTCGATGATTAAGCTCCTTGGTTCCAATCCATCGCGTGTCAATGCCATTTTTGGGACACTACTTTACTCAACTGAGGCCCTGGCCTCCTGTTCACCCCCATTTGAAACTCTGTACCTTAGAATTTCGCGGGCTGGAAACCCTAGGGTTTCCATTGTCCCAGTGCTCGATCAGTGGGTCGAAGAAGGGAGAGACGTCAACAAATCAGAGCTCCAAAGTTTCGTCAAGATGCTCCGCAAATATCGCCGCTACAGCCACGCACTTCAGGTAAAACTAGAAACAAGAAAAAAATTTATTTACTTTATACAATTTTCTTGTATGATTTGTTTTTATAGAAAATATAATCAATGTGAAATGGAGTCAATTGTAGCATAATACAGTTCATCACAAAATCCGATGATATTAGACTTGAAAGAAAAAATTCACACGGAAGAGATTATGGTGGAAAATCAATAGCCCCAATTTATGAAAATTTTGAAGTATGAGCTAAATTTTACATATACAGTGCAGGTTGATGACATGAAAATTAATTTCTATACGAACTGCATATGCTAGGAGGGTTATGCAGCTAAAGCTGCTAATCATTTTGGGAATTTTTTAAAATCATTTTAAGCAATAGATTATATATTCTTTCCATGGAGAAGTGAATTGAATGAATGCAGTTTACATATTTAAAATATGAGCTTCATGAAAATAACACTTTGTTTCCGCATCAAATAAAATGACTCTGGCGGTTTAGCTAGAGGTTGAATTTTCATATCTATGCTTGTTCTGGTACATATGGTTGGGGAAAATGGATGAATTATTATTGGGTGGGTTACTCATTTAACGACCTTATAAGCTCTACATAGATGCATAACTTATTTCATGGGAATAAGACCAAGTCTGTTACTCTTCTCCGTTAGAACTTAGAAACTTTAAATGGTTTACACTGCTAGATTTTTTGTTCTTTTCTCATCTCTAGGGTGATTGTCATTAATATGTTTTTCAAGTGCTCATGGATTGTGTCCCATAGATGCTTTCTTATTGTGTTATTTAGTTATCAAATAATATGCTTAAATACACTCTGTTTTTCTTTCTATGATTTTCAACTACCATCATTCTTTTCTAAGACTGCTTTAGCTGCTAGAACCCACATGTTTCAGCCTGTAAAGTTCCACAAACCACCATTGAGAACGTAATAATGTATAATACAGATTCATAATAGAGTTAGTTTATTTTATGGATGCTAGTCACTGCTTGTGTGTTGATGACCATGGTAAAAGATTCAGGTTATGTGCTTTGGAATTCTTAAGCAATGTTTCGTAAAGTGATCATTAACTCAAGCCATCGCGGGTTGATAGTTTGTGTTCTGCATGTTATTTATTAGGACTTTGAAATCGTGACCGAAAAACCATAAAAGTAAAAATTGGAAGATCCTGAACGGTGTTATTTTTCAGATTTCAGAATGGATGAGTGATGCAAGGAACCATGATCTATCTCCTGGTGACATTGCGATTCGGCTAGATTTGATCTCGAAAGTTTGTGGCCTAGAACAAGCCGAGATGTATTTTAATAGCCTCCCAGACCCATTGAGAAATTTCAAAGTGTATGGTGCTCTTTTATTCTGCTCTGTAGAGCATAAATCTTTGGAAAAGGCTGAGAATCTTTTCGAGAAGATGAAGGAGTTAGGTTATTTGAAAGGACCATTGCCTTATAATGTTATGTTAACCCTCTATTCTCAGTTGGATGAACATGAAAAACTAGATATTCTGGTCAAAGAAATGGAAGAAAAAGTCATTGATTATGACAGCTCCACATTGAAGATTCAGTTGAACTTGTATGCAAACACTTCTGACATAGACAGAATGGAGAAGCTTTTAATGAAGATAGAAGCTGATCCTTTGGTCACAGTAGACTGGAATGGTTATGTTGTTGCAGCGAAAGGGTTCTTGAAAGCTGGCTTATTGGAGAAGGCATCATCAATGCTTAGGCGATCCGAGCAACTCGTTAGCAATAAAACAAGGAGACTTGCTTATGAAATCTTCCTCAGTTTATACGCTGCTATTGGGAATAAAGAGGAGGTTTATCGTATTTGGAATATGTACAAATTTATGGCGAGATTTAAAAATTCCGGCTATCTTTGTATGTTAAGTTCATTAGTGAAGCTGGATGACATTGATGGTGCTGAGATGATCGTGGAGGAATGGGAATCTGGGGCAAAGTTCTTTGACATTCGAATTCCCAACTTTCTGATCACTACTTACTGCAAGAAAGGTCTTTTGGTGAAGGCCGAATCATATATAAATAAGCTTGAAGAGAGCGGAAAGCCGCTGGATGCAAGCACATGGACTCGTTTGGCAGCCGGTTATCATATGCACGGTCAGATGGCGAAGGCAGTGGAAACAATGAGAAGGGCAATATTGGCAAGTCAACCAGGATGGGAGTTGAATCATTTAATTTTGGCTGCATGTCTTGAGTACTTGAAAGAGAAGGGAAATTTGGAATTTGCACACGAGCTTCTGAGTTTAATTAGAGAAAGGGATCATTTTTCAGAAGAATTGTGTGATAAATTAGAAAAGTATATTATTTAGTGGTGAACCTTAGAAGAGAGATGGGAAGTATCACAGGAACTTTTGAGATTATTGGCAGGAAGTGATGATCTTTCAACAGATTTGTACGACAAATTAGAAGATTGTACATATGGTGAATCTCAGGTTTTGGCCTTGATAAAGTGAAATAGGATATATTCATCGAGGGATTGATGAAGTCGAAGATGGGTAAAATTAAAGATGGAGGCGCATGGGGTGGTGGAGCTTAAAAATGTGGTAGCAGCTAAATACATATTTCAATCTGTAGAAGGTATGCTGTTCTATGACCAACACCAAAAAACGAGAGGTGAACATCCCTGCCACCCCAGTCCTTTGAATGCTGCAGATGACTTGATAGCTGCTAGTTGACCCTCAGCAAATACATTTTTCACCAAAAAGCCGAAGGAATGTTGCTCTCTTTCGTGTTATCGTTCTATTTGAGGCGGATGGAATGAACGTGTACATGAGTTCCTTCAAATAAATTTTTTGAAAGAGAGTTGGCCATCAAGAACAACGAGAAAGAGGAAATGAAGGTGTTTCTTTTTCTTTGTGTTACACAGTGCATTAATTCATTGTATTGATCTTTTGGTCTTGTCCTATGCCCTATGGTTACCCAAAACGTTCAGAGGGGGAAAAAAGAAGGAATTAACGATCTGAATTATCTATTTTTAAAAGTTTAGAGGAAATAAAAAGAAGAATATATATACCCTATTGTTAATTCTATCGTTGAAATATAATATGGAGTGGTCCCACAAGGATGTGTATATATATATAACTATTAAGACATCTAGTTAATTGGTTCCATATTCAAGTGATTTTTTACACAAATCATTTTTGAAGAAATACCTAAAAGATGAACGATTTTGATTATTGAAATACAACATCGAGTGTGCGGAAAGGGCTCCACAAGAGAGTTATTATTTGGAATCCACTATTATAAAGCAACATTATAGGATAGCCAATCTAAAGCTGGCCCCATTGCCTAATCTCAAGCCTAGTATGAGGTTTTCAAATTGAAGCAATGCATTGTTGATATGATTCTATCGATCACAGTACTTATCTTTAACCAAATCCCTCCTCTTACATTCTCCAAGGTGATCAAATAAAAATATCTAAAGTTTGAATATTTTTCAAGCAAAAAGCAAAAGTTACAGAAAGTCGTAGACAGCATGTGCAATTGATCCGATCGACATGACAAGCAAACCAGCAGCCCGAGGGCCCATGCAAGACGAAGGACACAAACCCTAATATTTATATTCAACCATCCAAAACCAAAGGTTATAGGGTTTGCCTGATTGCATGGAGAGATTAAGGTCTTCAAAAAGAGAAGCAAGTCAAAGAAGGTTAATCACAATCATTCAATCAAAGCCACACCCACTGCCATTGATGATGAGAGCAGTCATTTTCTTTGAACTTAAGCAAACGAACCCAATTAACCTAAACTCCAAAACCAAACCCCACTACACTCAAATTTGTGTCACATTCATATTTTGCGACCAGCAAAGACAAAAATAATGGGCCGGTGAGTGTGACTTCAAAAAGAAAGGAGCCGAAAAAGGAAAAAAATAATATTGAAGTAATTAACGGAGGATTTAACCCTCTCAAGTCTCAACCACTTAATACATGTTCAAGTCCTTTCATGGCTAGTAAATAAAATCAAACCAAACCAATTCCCCCTTCAAAGCTGGGCCTGCAATTATATCAGCAGTCACCGACAGAGAGATTACTGGTTGGACTTTTGTTGAAGTGGTTGTTGCACCAATTGTTCTTAAATATCAAATTTTATCCCATGCCAAAATTGCTTTTTTTTAAAAGCAAGATTCACTATTATAGCCAATATAGGGCCCCAAATTATTTTTTAATAAAAACCATACATAAAATGGACTTTAGAAACACACCCAAAACATATTTTCAATATAACAAAGAGGTTTTGAAATTAAATTTTAATAATCAAAATTAAATTCAATAGGGCTAACTGTCATATTTTGGGTTTGTTTATAGAAATTAAATGGTGTATGATTTATCTCTTTTTCTTAATGTCATAGTGCTGACGTTGAGCACGCCTCACAAACTAATTGGTTAAGATGAAAAGGGTTTATCTCCTTTGATGAATTACAAATCTATGGTTAATTGCATATTTGAATTTTTACTAATAAACATTAAACAATACGTACAAAATCCTTAGATTTGTAACACTTTTTATCGATTAATTTTTAAGTGAAGCAGTTTTCTGGTGAAAAAGAGCAATCCCAAACGGAAACTTAGAGCGATGCACTAACAGTGGCCCTGCATGCATGCTATTATTTCTGGTTGTTTTAGAAGTATGGGGTATAATATATAGGTGACATGTCTTTCTCTGAAAGACAAACGTATTTGGATCCATCCCAGCTAGCAGACAGTATTTGTGATCAAGCAGGGGAAGGGATAGGATCAGAGACGTTTGTGATGTGAAGACCCGAATCTTTTAGTGTAGAGAGTATTGCTTGGCAGCAACTTGAGTGCTGATCCCTTCCCACCACCATAAGCAAAGTGGTGGTGGTGACCCTTTTGTCCACCATCCATGGGTAGATTTGTCATTACGCATTGGCCAAAGTCGTCGATGGCTTTAGAACTAGTTGACCACTTTTCTTGGAAGGGTCTCCAATATCATCATTCACCCGAAGAAAAAATTATCAGGTGTATCTGATACATAAGCGACGTACTCAACGCGGTTTTGGGTTCACGATTTGAGATTTAGGGTTTAGATGGTAATACCAAGTGAGATTCTCTTTGCAATACGTCCGTTTTTTAGCGTTAGAATGACCCTTTAAATAATCAAACTACGTTATCAAAGTTGAAGAAAATTGTGTAGAAAGTCTCTTAATAACAATACACGTCTTATAATTTGAATAAATTCTATACACTAAGTCAGCATGTTACGTGAATACACGTCTTATAATTTGAATAAATTCTATACATTAAATTAGCATGTTACGTGAAACATCGAATACACAATAATTTCTCCATTCACACCTTCCAAGTTGCTACCACTAGGTCCACCAGAAGACATGTATGTTTTGTTTTTGTGAGGGTAGTTAATGGGCGAATATGTTACATAAAAGATATGGTAGGAAAGAAAATGGCATGCCTCGTCAGGTTGTTTGGATGTGGATGTGGATGTGGATGTGGATGTGGTGTTCTAACTAGACAAACCAACACTCAATTCCGACACTCCTTCTAGAGAAACATGGTAAACAGAGCTAAGAAATTTCACCACCTCAATTGATGACTATTCTTCATGTAGACCACTTTTCTTGTTTTGGGTTGCCTCAGTCAATATGCAACCATAGTCCATGCTTCCATTGGCGTCTAACGAATGAATTGCCACTATTCAAGGATTGAATATTATCAAAACCAAAAAAACCAAAACAAAAAATAACAAGGAAGGAACTATCATAGCTCGGGTTAGGAGTTTTTTTTAAATAAAAAATTTTTAAAGGGAGGTAGGTAGAATCGAGTCGAGTCGAGTCAAACCGACTAACAAGGTGCTTAAACTTAAATTTCTTTGAAAAATCTGTCGAGCTCAAGTTCAGCTTGATTAACTATGTCATCAAGCTTTAAAACCTAGCTCAACTTGGAGTAACCATATGCAATTCTCATATTATTTATTTATTTATTTATTTCTATCAATTATATCTCCTTTTCTTATTACATGGGGCCAAAGCCCAAGCAAAACCAACGAGATCTAGATCTCAATAATTTTTCTTGCTTACATGGGGCCCGGAAGCCCAAGGAAACCAACAAGAATGATTTCTCAAATTACAAAATTACAAAAATGATCAGTTAATGATGATTTTATTATTATTATTGATCAATTATTGGGAGCTGTTAGTGGCCTTTCAAAATGGTATTTCTTCACTCCTCCTCTGTCCTGTCAAAAAAACACAATATGATGACTTTTTTGGACTACCAATAACAATACCCTTATATTCATCAACAGTTTTTTTTTTTTTTTTCTTGACATAAACAGATTAATAATCAGAGCAAAAACT